CAGGGGATAGCAGAGACAATTGATTATTAATAAACAATAATGCACATGTAGACTTTTCTGATTTGAAAATTCAATATAGATAGCAAATATAAAGAAAATAAATAACAAATAAAAATACAATAAAACATTGAATCATTACAGATAAAATGAATTTTCCTGAACCCTGTCACAATCCCCACCTCACATCCAGCTGTGTAATTTGGTAACTGTCTGTCCATACACACACACACACAGACACACAAACACAGTCAGTTCCTGTGTCTAATTCTGCTGTTTGTCTTTCTCTGCACCCTATTTTAATAAGCATAACTTTACAACACATTGACATTTTGTGGAAGATACCCTCTCTATTTTCTTAAAAGAGTTTTTCTAATGACTGTCACATTTATACTCCCATATGAGTAAATAGCTTTCTATGTCTTTTTCATGCTTTTTGTTGTGGACAAGCCTGCCTCCTGCTTGCTGGAAATTGAGTAGAGAATTCATCACAGAGAACCACACAGCAGAAAACCCAAAAATGATATATAAACTCAGCCCTCGAGACCCAGCATTGAGGGTCACCAGTGCCTGGGTGTGCTGGCTTCTGTCACACTGGGTTTTGCAGTGTTGGATAAAGCATGTGGAGAGGCCACCTGAATCTGAAGCCCTTTGTGACTGACCAGCTCTGAATCCAGTGCTTGAAGGTGGCTTGGGGCACAGTGGAGGATCCCTGGAAACCTGCAGTGCTGGGAGAGACTCTCACTCTTGACTCTATTGATTTGGGAATAAAGTCTAAGTCTGAAGTTTTTTGTAATCAGCACTTGAAAGCTATTTTTTTTTTTAGCCCTGTCTTTTACATTTGGAGTTGATGTTAAGAAATCTGATGCTCTTCTCAGTCTATGCTCTCTCTCCAGGTGACCTCAGACAATCCCAGCACTTCCCACGTGTGTTCTGGTAAACCTACAAGCTATGTTTCCCTCCCAGTTCTTTCTCCCATGGCCCAACTTCCATCTCATACAAATCTCAACACTGTCTCCATCACCTCATCCCCATATCAATACTTTGGTTATCTCTCAACTGGTCTTTTTTTTCTCTCACATCTTTCTAATCCATCTTCAACACTGCAGTCAAGTGAGACTCAGAAAACACAACCCTCATCATGCCAGCCATTGCCATTTGAACTCATTGCTCCCAGGATACTGTGTAGATCCTTCATCTGGTCTATGTGACACTTGGACCTTATCTTTTACCTTTCTAACCTCCACACTTATTTTCCACATGTCCAGTCACACTGGCCTGCTTGCTCCTGCCCAGAATAATGCCAAGGACACTCCTGCCTCAGGGCCTTGGCCCAGACTGTTCCCTCTACCTGCATGTTCTTCCTTCAGCTCTCTGCATGTTATACTCCCTTATACCTTCAGGTTTTTGCTCAGATTTCACCTTATCAGTGAGTGGGTATCTCCATAGAATGATAACCACTTTACCTAAGTATTAATTTTGACCTTGGGAATAAGGTCTATTAACTACTAAAAAATTCAGTAGCATTCAGAATATTTTGATGACAATGGTTGACTTTGGTAAGACTAATAAAAAGATAAGATAGTTTGATGACAAAAATACAAGATTCTACTGCACTGTCCATTTAGATCAATCATATTGGTCCATAGACCACATGTGCCATCAGTAACTGGCTAGGCACAGTGACTTACATTTGTAATCCCAGGACTCTGGGAGGTGGAGGCAGGATGGTCACTTGAGGCCAGGAGTTTGAGACCAGCCTGGGCAACAGAGAGACCCCATCTCTACAAAAAATATTTTAAAAAATTAGCTGAGAATGGTAGTGCACACCTGTAATCCTAGCTACTTGAGAGGTTATGGCCAGAGGATCACTTGAACTCAGGAGTTTGAGGTTGCAGTGAGCAGTGGATTGCACCAGTACACTTCAGCTTGGGCATCAGAGTGAGACCCTCTCTCTAAAATAGAAAGAAAGAGAGAGAGAGAGAGAGAGAGAGAGAGAGAGAAGAAAGAAAAAAGAAATCAGTAACTCTGAGCACACCAGAGCCTTGAAATTACCTTGAAATTACCTCATGAGGGTGACTTGAGTTGCTTATGCTGAATTAGAGATCTAGTCCCCAGTAGTCTTTAAATGTAGCTATGATTACCCTGTCCATGTATTCTATTTTACAGTTCTTATTACACCACCATGCAACAAAGGATTTCAATGCCAAATCTAAGATATTTTGTTCCATTCTCTAGGAAGCCAAACATCTATAAAACTCTTGAAAATGTGGTTGGTTGGTAGAAGGTGTTGTGATTGAATCTTGGATTAACTGAATATAATTCTTCCTTTGCCATCAGCCCTCACATCTCAGAATTATGAAAAAGAAACCTTTAGATCTAGCTACAAAAATGAACCAGCCTTAAATGAAGAACTGCGTATTCCTTTAATACCAGCATCAAGCAAATGGCCAAGCAGATGGCAGTTTAAAACAATAACCGTCCAGAGGAACACGTGGGAAGGGTGAGGAAGATGGAGAAAGTGGAAAGGCTGCAGAAAAGTGATTCCAAACATCTCCCTGCTTCTTTCCTCTACCCTCCATTCCATAAAACATGCCTATTGTCTTGTCTCGACTTGGAAAAAAATTGGGGGCGGGGGGTGAATAGCGTTAGAATCAAAACAGGCCTCAGTTTGAATTCACTCCTGTCTTCTAATTGATCTGACCGTGAATTCCTTGGTTTATGTAGGAGGTAATGCCTTCCTTATGCAGCTGTCGAGAAAACAGAAAGAATAGCATGCAGAGAGTGCAGCATGAGGGACCAAATCCCGCTCCCAGTCCCAGATTTCATACATCCTGTTCCCGCAAAACAACATTGTGGGGCTGGTTAGACATAACATCCCAGGCCTTGAGACAACATGCTGGAGACTTGCATTCTGCTTACTGGTCAGATACCCCACAATTTGCACCAAAGAGAAAGCAGAAGCCAAGAAATGACCATGGATAAATTCATGTTAAATTTAAAGGATGGATTTCAAGGAAGAGGGAGGCATTCTCTGTCTTTTGACTGGAATTATGTAAGAAACAAATATGCACTTAGGATTTGTTCCAAATGAACATCTGGAAGAATGTGGCTCATGCATAAGATAAGCATAAGCCAGAATAGAAAGGTGTCTCTCCCATTGCACTGTTTAAAACAATTTTTTTTGAAGTTTATTGAGACATTCCATACCTCTTAGGGATATAAATATGATTTCCAAGTAACTGTTTTTAACCTAATCTGTTGAATCCTCCTTTCTCAATGGATATCAAGTTCCTTAAAATCATCTTGATTAGATTCCATAACTGGTAAAAACTTTGGATTATCAACCCCCTAGAATGAAAACCTGTTAAGAGAGTAGAAATAGACCTTCTTTCCTGGACAAGCAGAGGGTTAATTTTGGGAAATACTGCCCTTTATGATTACATTACACTTTTGTATATTAAGAAACACGATTGCCTATACCTATAAAAATTTATCTTAACCAAATTCCCCCAATATGAGTACTTATTAGTACTCGTATTTCCAATACCTAGCAGTTTTGGGCACCAGAGTAAGTCATCAATAAATGTTCAGATAAACTTACCTTTGACAAGCTAAACCTTAAAGGACAAAGGTTACTGAGTTATTTTTTTAATGGCAAAATGCAATTACACTCATGCAAATGCTTGGGTGGATAATATCTAATGACAGATGGCAACTTTTGTAAGTTGATACATTTCCTTGGCTTCCCGTAAACTCTACCCCAGGATGATTTATATAATCTATTTCTGTTCAGAAATTTTTTTGTTCTCACATGTTTTTGTTTAAAGACCTAATACAAGAATCTGATACAAAAGGTATTGAAATATTGTTTTCAACATGCCTTTAAATGACTACTAAAAGGAAAACATTGACACAATTCATGTGATACTTTAAAGCTGTAAGAGTTGGCAGTTTAGGAAAGTAACAATGTACAAATCAAAGTGAGGAGGATAACATAATTTTTATAAGGATTATATAGACACATGTTTTGATCTGAGGAGTGATTTGATTAGTAATATACAGTGGAGGAATTGATATTTTGAAGAAAAATTATTTAAATCAACCTAAACTGCACATAATCAATTTTTAAGAGGAATTGTAATTAAGAAATACCTTTAGGGGAAGAAAATTTTTCATTAGAAAATGAATTAATTGTAAATTTGAGGAATATAACTGTATAAATGTTCCAACAAAGCCTGTGCTCATTTCACTGGAGAGATTGAAATAAGTAGATTCTTATAAGGGACACTTCAGTTTCTTTTCTATTTTCTTTTCCAGGCCATGAGTAATTACTGATTGAACTTTTTCAACAATTCAGAGCACACTACAGGTGTACCAGATTTAAAAAGGTATTGTGTAAACACAATGGAGATGAAACTTACCATGAACCCTAATGCTGCTCCAGATTAGACATCAAAACCTGTCTAATTTAGCAACTAAGGACACAGCACTGATTCTCACTGGTCAGTGTATGCACAAGTCACTTTGATGGAGCCATTTACAGATTTTTAAAAAGTCCTTGTGGCCCTTGTTATTCATGACCAGTAGTCCCTGGAAGTTAAGTTTAACTGAGCTGGGCTATAAGATGCAGTGTTCAATGCTTGCATGGGGCTGGTATTTTTTCTACAGATTTAGAACTTTCTAAAACATCTGGGGCTGGGGGGAGAAATGTGAGACTAAAATGAGGACTAGAGGATGACTGTAGAGACTGTCAGTTGGTAATGAGGGAGGAGGATAAACTGGTGTCAGCCTCAGATGAGCCCACAGTGTGGCAACAAGACAGCACAGAACTTCAGGAACTTCTAGTGAACACCGTCTAGTTTATGCCACCAACTGAGGCAAAACCAAGGGAGGATTTAACAACAAAAGAGGTACAAAGGTAAAACAAAATGAAGCAAAATGTTATGAGTCGAGCAGTTACCCCACTGTTTCCCTGCAGTAACAAGAAGAGGACAAGGCCAGAGTGAAAACCCTCTCTTGGTTTTTCAAACAAGACAGGCTTTATTTAGATCACCAAAAATAACATTTTACAGAAAAGGAATCATAACATTACACAACAAAGTATAGCTGTAAAATCTCAAACAAGACAGGCTTTATTTAGATCACCAAAAATAACATTCCACAGAGAGGGAGCCATTACAAGCAAATGTATAGCTGCAGATTTTCTTCTGCCATCAATATCGATTCCCTCTGAGATACTTTAAGATTACTTTGTGGTTTCCAAGTACAAACTCAAATTTGTTGGACAGAGTTACTCAGTCTCATCATAAGAATGAAAACAGTTTGCAAAAAATTTTGTTTAATGCTAACAAATAATGAAAAAATGTGGTTCTTGCTAATTAACTGCAACGTCTAGCAAAACAGCCCAACCTATGTACACTTTCAGGAATATTTCATTGTGACCACGGTTGCTCTTTTTGCCTGTCATTACAGATGGCCTGCACAGTGGTGAGTATGATGTCGGAGCACTTTCAGGCACCCAAGAAGTAATTCTAAACAAAAAACTACAGCCTAGGGGCAACTCAAACGACAGGGCCCACCTCTGCCAGAGCCTCAGGTGGGTGTTGCATTTGTGCTCCGGGGAAAGAAACCCCATCTTGTTAGTTCTTCACCTGGAGCCCAGAGTGGGATGCCAGATGGAGCAGCTGTTCTTAGAGAACCATCAGCACTTTAGTAGATTGCCCGGGGGTTCTTGGTGCTGTAATGTGCCTCACAGGCAGCAACATAAGCAGACTCTGGGAAGAAGTCATCATGGTATTCTGCTAAAAACCTGAACAAAGAAAAAATGGCCCTGGTGAGCATCACACTAAGGACTAAATACTGTTAAGGAAGATACTGACTTTCAACCAACTAACATGTTGACTCTTTTTTGGCATTAGGAAGAAAAAATGGCTATACTCTTTGTTGCTATATACTGATTGCTTTCATTGCACTTATCTAACTTTCATGTTTATGACTATTAATCTAAATCCCTTCTCCACCATCAGGGGCACACAGAAACAGAACCTGTACTCCACTAGGTGGCAGTCTGGTGACATAGATATTTCTGTGAAAAATGCCTCAGGGGATATTTCTACATTTTCCTGTTTCTCCAACTATTAATCTGTATATATTCATTAAATGCCACTTGGGAAATTTACATTGCTTATATGAGCAAAGTTACACCAAAATTGAATAATTAGTAACAGCATTTTGTGTCCTGATTTGCCACATCAAAAGGTGTTACAGTTCTAGCTGAAGGTACCAAGATGTAAAAAGACTTCTTTATGAATGTGGATATTAAAATATGGCTGAATGATTTTTTTTTAAAAGCTGTGAGGCTTTTATGAATGGAGAGAGGAATGAAAATGTTCTAAAATCAATTGTGATGAAGGGTGCACATCTCTGTGAATATACTAAAGGCCACTGAATTGTATACTTTAAGTGGGTGAATTGTGTGGTAGGTGAATTATACCATAATAATACCATTTAAAAAAAAATAAAGCACTATAAAATTTGAGAAAAAAATGTGGCTGGGTCATTCAAGAGTCTACAATACACAGGCAATAACTCGACTCCAAATGATTTGGCATGGAGGGCTAAAACATCCTCAAATGTACAGTATGAACTAGTAAGCTAGTGAGTTTCATGTATGTTTCCCAGCTATCTCCTACCTGTTCAAATCCCTATAAATGTGCGGTATGTTTTTAGTAAAAATTGAGTCAAAATTCATTGAATAACTAACTCCTCTTCATTTATGATTGCACCCTTTTAATAGTCATTATTGAGACCATTGATTCTAATTGATGACTGAATACATTTTAAAAATTTCTTACTATATTTATTTGTAAATCCTTCTAAGTTTCTTCCTAAAATCCTAATTTCTACTTTGTATTAGGCATGCTTCAAAATTAGAAGCCTTTCCTATGTTAACTTGTAGCTGTCTCTTCATATGGTCTTGGCACTATTTGGCTTCAGTTTATAAAACTTTATGCCAAATAGAGTGTTTGAGGAGGAGGCTGGGAGGGAAGAGGGTATTTTTGAAACTTATTTCCAATAAAATGTTGTAAAGTCTAATTCCACTCATGGACACTTGATTCAAAATACCTACGTGAAAGTATCTTTTAAAACTACAAGACTGTGGTCATCCTACTTGACAAGTCAGGATGGGGCCTGACTATAAGCAAAAGGTGCCCCTTAAAGAGAAGGAAGAAACATGGTCAGGGAAGCAAGATGAGTTGGGCGATGCAGGGTGACAACTACACTTAAAGGCCAAGGAAAGGAAGTGGATGACAGGCATCATATGGATGGGGGAGAGAACTGACCCAAGCCCTGGCTCAAATGACCCTCTCAGGTAAGAAAAAGACTGGCTTTGCCGGGTTCTGTGGCTCAGCCTGTAATCCCGTGCCTTTGGGGGCTGAAGTGAGTGGATTGCCTGAGCCTGCGGGTTCAAGACCCACCTGGGCAGTGAGACCTCATCTCTACAATAAATCAAAAAATTAGCCGGGCGTGGTAGTGCACGCCTATAGTTTCGGCTACTTGGAAGGTTGAGGCGGAAGGATCGCTGGAGTCCAGCAGGTTGAGGCTGCGGTGGCCGGAAGCGGCCACTGCACTCCAGTCTGGGCGACAGAGTGAGATGCCAACTCAAGAAAAAAAAAAAAAAGAAAGAAAGAAAATGACTGGCTTGGTCAGCTGAAGGAAACAGCACCTTTCTCCGAATTCACAAAAGAAAGCACAGTCTAGGGGTCATTTCTCTTAACTCTGAACTAAATGCCATAATCCAACCTGAAATTGCTACTATTTAAGTAGTTTATGCACATATTACAAAGAAAAGTGTAACACTTGTGGCACTCCCAAATAAAAAGGTAAAATTAAATTATTATCAATCTCAACCAGTCACACCTACTTTAGAAAAATTATCTTCTATTTATAAGGTTATTAAATTGGACTCTTCTTTTTTTCTTATAATTTTCTTAATAATATTTTTCTTATTCTAACTTACTGTACTATATGCATTATGATGATCTTTTAAAAATTTTATTTATTTTTTTATGTTTTTTTAACTTTTAAAACTTTTTTATTTTAAAATTGTGGGGTACATTTCAGGGTTAGGTATACAAATATTCATTGTGCAGGTACCCTTGTGCTGTCAATCCTACCTCCCCGCCCCCCCCCCACAGTTTCCCGCTACAGTCAATCCTTTTCTTACAGTATTGCGGTAGTTGTTTAAGGTCTACTTATTAGTGAGAACATATGACATAAAATCTTTACTTCTGTATGATGAATGACCTTGACTCAAGAAACTAGAGATGTGATAAAGAAAAGTTCAGAAAAGTCACAAATATGGCAACAGAGGTAAATTTTGACAAAGTAATACAAATACCTCAGAAAGAGATCAAAGTGCTTCAGTAAAGCCTTCAGATTCTTGTCAGAAAAAGACATCTTTCCAAGGATTTCTGGAAGTTTCACTGCATTAAAAAATAAAAGCAAAACAATTTATAATTAGCAGAATCTGACAACGTGAAGGACTTAGGGATCATCGGGGTCCCTTCTTATCTTTATTGAAACTGAAATTAACATCCACACTATCAAACAAAACCCAAAATTCTTACTGACTAAAGACATATAGCAGTACAAATATTGCAAACGTAATTTTTTGTGAAATTTAAGAATTACTCAGTACCTTTTCTTTGAACAGGTTACCTCGGAGTGATTTTTCTTAGACCTTCAAATTTCCATGTGAGTTACTTACAACCCAAACCATGAGCTGTATATTGGCTAAGAAGAGTGCTAAAAACAAAGCAAAGTGAAAAGTAGAGAAAAACAAGCAGTAACTGGGATTCTTACCAAACAATCGCAACAAGTGTTGTGCCCCATAAATATAAGAGGGAGGAGGTGGCTGGTCACCTGGGGGGTAATTGTCAGGCACCAGCTTCCAGGAGAGGACCTGGGAAAAGAACAAATTGAACACTTTTGTTCTTCATTAAGACACTTCCAACCACTTAAAAGTTATGATAGTCAATTGTATTTAAAAGAAAAAATATGGCACCGTCAAAAGAAACACAAACTAATAAAAACAAAGATAAAGGGCAAAAAGGCTAAAAATGCAATTAAGAAAATATCTCTTTCTTCCTTTTTTTATAAGTTGGGGTCTTTCTCAGTGTCTCCCAGGCTGGAGTGCAGTAACACAATCATGACTCAACACAGTCTAGACCTTCTGGGTTCAGATGATCCTCCCACCTCGGCCTCCTGAGTAGCTGAGACTATAGTCATGTGCTACCACACACAGCTAAATATTTACTTTTTAATTTTCAACAGCTACTCTCTACAATTAACTAACTATTTTGGCTCTTTAGCCCCTTTCCCTTTTTCTTTACTGGAAATCCTCCTGCATTAGGAGAGAATAAAGCATTAAAAAGGAATTAAAAGATGTTTTGAGTAACATTACTGTTGTTTTAAGATTTTCTAATTTTTTGCTGTTAGATTCCTTATGGAAACAAATTTGAATGTTTTAACCCCTTGAATCAACTGAAATAGACTTCAAACCTGGTAGCTGATTTTTGTGCCATCACTCTGAATTTCAGAACTGTGGGTAAACTTGGGGCTTTTGTTAAAGGGGGAGCAGTATCTCAAAACTCTCTGAGTTTCTGTAGAAGAACTTTGGCAAATTACAGAACCAGAGCCTACTCTACTGAGTTGCCACTTTGGCTTTTGGAATATCATATTCAAAATGGAAACAGGCTGAAGGAAACTTTCTAGGAGACGAAGCAGAAGGGTGTCCTTTCAAACCCAGAAATGCTGACATAGGCAGTGAGACAGAATGAAATACAGAAGCTAACAAGACCAAGGTGGGTCTGGAGGATCCAGGATGAAGGCCTCAGCCTCACTTCAGTGACAGACGCTCCTGTAGGCCCCCAACCCCAGTCCTTTTGCACTGTAGGGCCCTGGGGGCAGGATCGCTTCAGCATCTTTACACCATCCCGGGCACCTGCCCAGTGTACACAGCAAGCTCGGGAACCATTTTGACAGTGATAACCAAAGGGAACATACAGGAATCTGTAGTCATTGGAGGCATGAATTGGCGCACTTGGCATGTACAAAGGTGGGTCATCTGGCTAGTTAGCAAGCGGCTCTACCTCACTCACTCAATTCTGCATTTCAGTGCACTACGTAATCTTCTATTTATCAAAGACACATTTTTATGGAGGAAAACAGTTGGCATCTAGTGGAGGGATTCTCCAGAGGGCATGCACGGAAACCATTTGTGGATTTTTACCAGCAATTCACACATCAGATCCTCCCCTGATGAAATGGGGCAGCCACTGGTAATGGGAGAAAGAGTGCAGGTAATTTGGATAAAGAGTACTGGTTTTAAAACACTGCAGTAGAGCATGTAAGGAAATGGGAATTCACTAAGTTATCACATGTCTTTGTGAGGATCTGCGGAGCTCCAATGGATTCTGAGAACACATTTTTGCACTATAGCCTGCAGCTGTACCTATAACCACTAGATGGCGAACTCATACCACTGACCAGCATGGGAATGGCCCTTGTCTGAATATCCATATACCCTTTTAAAGAAACATGATTCCTCTTAAGAAAACCTGCAGTGCCTTCTTATCTGAAAAATGGTGTTAGGGACTGATTGAACTAGGCAACAATCACCATAATACAAACTGGGCTTTCTAGTTTCTATATTAGGGTCAGCCAACTGTATGCAGCCCCTGGACCAAATCCAGCCCAATGTTCATATGCTCAAAATGGTTGGGGAAAAAGAAAATCAAACAAATAATATTTCATGATTGTAAGTGCAGGGTTGGAATCCTAATAATTTTTTAATTTTAGAAACCAAAAGCACACTGATAAGCATAATCCTATGTCCAACTGTGTTAATGCTTACAGTAGTAGCAACATGATGCTTCAAGAACTTCGATTTCCTCACACAGAATTAAACCATGCACAAATGGTGAAAGAATAATTACAGACAAACATCACACACTGGGTCTTTACCTCGTTAATCTCATTAGTTCTTCTCCCTTCAAAACCAGCAAACACTGCACTCCCTTCTTTGCTAGGAGTCAGGGGAATAGGTGAAGATGATCTGCTGTGCACAGGTGTCTCTTCAAAAGAAAAAGATGTCATTATTCACACAGTAACTGAATTAAAGACTATCATCAAGACTCTTAAAACAGCAGAGCGTAAATCTAAAATTGGTTCTCAGCAGTTATTACTCTTTGACAATAAGAATTTCCTTTTATAAAAGATAGCACCAGAATGTGATTTGGTTAAAAAAAAAAAAAAAAGGAATGAAATAGTGACACACGCTACAATGTGCATGAACCTTGAAAAAATGCTGAGGGAAAAGAGCCAGTCACAAAAGAACACATATCATATGATTCCATGTACATTAAATGTCCAGCACAGGCAGATCCACAGAGACAGAGAGTAGTTCAGTGGCTGCCAAGAGCTTGTAGAAGGAAGAAATAGAGAGTGATTGCCAATGGGTATGGGGTTTCTTCTTGCGGTGTTGAAAATGTTCTGGAATTGATTGTGGAGATGGTTGTATAACTCTGCAGATACATTAAAAACCACTGAACTGTACACTATGAAAAGTGAATTGTATGGCATGTAGATATTTCAATTACACTGTTAAAAAAGAGTGTGCCACTGAATAATTCACTTTAAAATGATTAACTTTATATATGAATTTCACCTCAATAAATAAAAAATACAAAAAAGATCACACTTTAATTTTTTAGCACCTTTTCTTAAAAGTGTTTTTCCCCCACTCTTCCCAGCTGAATCTTCCCAATCTTCATTTGATCAATCAATCCTTATTAAGCACCTACATATTATGTGACTCCATTTATACAAAATGCCTCAAATAGGCAAATCTATAGAGACAAATAGGTTCGTGGTTGCCACAAGCTTGAAGCAGGGGAAAACAGGGAGAGACTGCTAATGGATGTGGGATTCTTTTTTGGGGTGGTCAAACTGTCTGGAACAGATTTGAGTGATGGTTGCTCAACTCTATGAATACACTGAAAACAACTTTCAATGAGTGGATTGTAAGGTATGTGGATTATATCTCAAAAGAGCTGTTTATAAAAAGTACCTGATTTTGTTTTAGCACTTGATTATGCAAAAGAACTTTTGAAAAGGTCTGTCTTCCTTTCCTCTTCCCTTCTGAGCCTTCCCAAACTTCACTCAATCGAGAAACACTGACCAAACACCTAGGATGATGTCCCCAATGCTGAGCTGTGATGGAGCTAATAGAACCAAGTCAGCCCTGTCTCCCGGAGCTTATGATGTAGCAGGATGGAATGTACGCAAGGAAATGGGCACCTGAACACAGAGTGCCACCATGACAACAGCTTTGGGGTTCAGATAAGGTGAGCCTTAGGGTTAACCCTGAAGGAGTCAAGGTTAAGGGAAGAACAGGGACTAACACAAGGTCTCGCAGAAGATACACCAAGTGGGGGTCTGAGAATTCGGCTCCAGGGAGTTTACCCTGACCTTAGCTTGGGAGGCATTTGTGATACTTATGAGGTCTGCCTTGGCTTTCACAGCCTGCTAGCAGCTGGGCCCTGTGAAAGAAAGGCCACCAGGCCTCCATCTCTGGGTGGTGTCTGCAGGTGTTGCTCTGTTCTGCTCCATGTAGTCTGTTCCTTGACAGGCATGCAATCCAAGTCCTGCACTGTCACCTTCATCACCAAGCCTGCTAGCTGCTGGAGGACAGCATTGGCCCTGCTGCCATTAACTTTTCAACTTTTCCTTTCTCGTGTTTTTGGCAGTAAAGGGTGAAATTATGTGAACACTGAGCACCACGTATTTAATGTGGGAATGTGGACTTAAATGTAAAGTGAATGATACTAGTCAGAGGGCTTCATGAGCACAGGTTAAACAACCATATTGTAATGAGCTTGGGACAATGCCTAGTTAGTGTATGACAGCTAATGGCAGCTTCTACAGTCATTGTATCTTATTAATGGAACTTGTTTTTAGCAGTGTTTAAAAGTTCAAAAATGATTAGCAGTGGCTTACTAAGTTTTATATGATAGCAAATCAGTCTATGTGCATTTTTCAAAAAAAAAAGAAAAGAAGAAAAGAAAAAGTAAACTCTTCCATAATTTATTTTGACCTTGAAAACATCCCAGCTCCAAACCAAGATGAGCTGATCTAACGGCTTTTGGGTTGGAGCTGGGATGAGGTAAGAAGAAATGATAGAAATCTGGGCATTCCCATTTTGATATTTCAGGACAGAACGTTCAAAATTAAACTTTAGAATGGTGAGACTACTGAGAGAGTATGAAGAAAACAAAGCCACTCACTAGAATCGCTTGTTTTAAAGGATACATTAGGAGTACAGAATTCGAATCACTCAATTTGCTTACAGGAAGTGGCAGAGAGTGATGGTGAAAAAGAAAAGCTGAGAAGACACAGTCCAACCCCTCCAGCACAACCTCACCATGCGATCTGTGCTGCTGCTTCACCTTCCTGTGGCTCTGGAACGCAGTTGATAACAGCACTTTGAACAGGTTATGGGAATCCCACACACTGTACACACATGCATGTAACCTTAGCATTATGCCTGGCACAGACTAAGCACCCAGTGCATGTCGGTTCTCCCCGGCCTGGGACACCCAGGAATGAACATACTCTTTTCCAGGTGCAGGAACAGTTTGGGCATGCTGGCAGACGTGTCCTGCTGCCGGCGCTTGGGCTGAGGTGAGGCACTGCTTTCAGACAGCCTGTCACAGTTGGTGGTGTGGCGCGTGGACCGCCTCAGAGACTGCAATGCTTCCGGCTCAGCTTTGCGCCTCTTGGGGGTGGCCGGCTCACCTGAGGCTGGTTGACTCTCTGTGGACTGCGGCGTAGATGGATTCAACAAAGGCGGGCTGGGAGAGAGCTCCTCCTGGCTCCTAGGGAAGAGGGAAAGTGTCACACATTTCCAGTCCTAGAAACCTTTGCAGAACCTGAGCTTCTGAAAGGGCCTCTGAAGACAGAAAATGCTCTCTCTACTCCAGAAGGCTTGTAAATCTGCTCCTCCAAATGTGTCAAGCACATGCTTTCTTAAAAAGAGTTACTAAACGTACTAAGCCATTCTAACCTTCTCCATAACTCTGCAAGGTATGCTGGCATTAACGACTGTGATATCCCTCTTATATTTGCCTTTGAGCAGTGGCTCCCAATTGGGAGCAATTTTGCCGTAACAGGACAGCTGGCAATGTCTGAAGACTTTTTCAACGGTCTCAATTGAGAGAAGGTAGGTGCTGCTAGCATCTAGGGGATGAAGGCCAGGGAGTCTGCTCAACACCTCGCAGCACACAGGACAGCCCCACAGCAGAGAATGATCCGGTTCAAAACATCAATAGGGCTAAAGTTGAGCAACCCTGCCCTAGAGAATAGGCATACTATATAATGTCATCAAAACGTAACTATTGGCAGGACTAGAAAAGCCACAAGCATCGGGGGAGCCATGTGGAAACACACAGTCCACTCTGGACACTGGGAATCTCAAGGTGTGGAGCAGGTCGTGGGGACTTCAACACAGGTCCCCAGTGAGTCTCACAGGCTTCTTACCCAGGGTGAAACCAACATGGGACTAGGGGGGAGGGAGAGAAGCCACCAAAAGAAGGCAGACTGAGAGAAGACGGTGGTGCGGTAGAAAGAGCACCAGGAGAGCAAAGCACAGCATGAAGTGGCAAGTTATCAGTGCCCTAGAGGAAGAGTCTAGCAGGGCAGTGCAGATACACGCAGATGAAAAGCAGCTAAGAGAGGAGATGGAGGAGTGGAAATCCTAACATGCACTCTCTCAGGATGACAGCAAGGAGGGAGATGGCGTAGTAGCTTATAGAGATTAAGGGAAAAGACTTTAGGTTAGGGGAAATCTCCCCACCACCCACCACCAAAAGAACAGAGACTAGAGCATGGCTGATCACTGAGGAGAGAAACGTGATGACACTGCAGAATGAAAAGGGGCTAACCTTTGCTGAAGGCCAAAGGTTGCCAGCCCTTTGTGACCATCCTCATTTAATCATAACTACCAGGGAGGCCGACATTCACTCCATCGTACAGATGTAAAAATAAGAGGCTCCAAAGGAACCTACCCAAGTCACAAACTCAGCAATCAGGGAGCTCAGTTCAAACCTGCCCCATCCACCCTTCTGGCCTGTGATCCCTTCACCCTGTCCCCCACTGTCTTCCAAAAGGTGGAGAAGCTGCTCATCACTCCACCTGAATTCTCTACATTAGGGTGTTCACTTGGTAAAATCCAAGTGAATAATGACTAGCTTACCCAGGAAAAAAGAAAACCACTCGATGGGCACTTTTCAACCTTTTTTTTCTTTTTGAGTTGGAATCTCACTCTGCCACCCAGAGTGGAGTGCAATGGCATGCTCCTGGCCACCGCAGCCTCGACCTGCTGGGCGCAGGCGATCCTTTCCGCCTCAGCCTTCCAAGTAGCTGGAACTACAGGCATGTGTTACCATGCCTGGCTAATTTTTGATTTATTGTAGAGATGAGGTCTCGCCGAATCACCTGAGTGGGTCACGAACCCGTGGGCTCAGGCAATCCACTCACCTCAGCCTCCCAAAGCTCTAGGATTACAGGCTGAGCCACTGAGCCCGGCTCACTTTTCAATCTTTGTCCTCCTCCAAACATGTTGGCCCGTAGCATCAGGTTAAACTCTTCAAAAAAAGGATTTGATTATTGCACTGCTGCCATTGGATGGTGAAAGTGCAGGCTGTCTACTTACCTACTGGTGTTTGTGGCACTTTCCTTAATTGGAAGAAAAAACTTAGACGAAGTCACCTTCTTATACTGAGTTTGTTCATATGGATAGAGTAAAACCAACGGGAGGGTATAATCAAAAGTTATTCTTAATCCATCCACCATCTCCTTACAAAGGTCAACACTGGGGGAATTAAAAAGAAATCAGAGATGTGATCAAATAATAGGTACTTTCCAAAATTTCACAAAAATGTTGCACATTTCTAATAGTTCATTTAATGTTCTATATTACACCTACACGTATAAACAATAAACAATAAAATGAATTTGTAGATGCTATCAAGAGTTAAATAGGAAAACAGACATAATATAATATGATATAATAATATATATAATATATAATAATATAGTGCAGAAAGTGTTGGTGATTTTAATTTATCTCATTTAACACAATGAGTATGCTCAATGCTATACAGGGTGTCCAGCAATCTGTGCTGCAGAAGGTGGACAGGTGGACATACCCCAATCACTGCAAGCCGGACACTTGACCCTTCTGCCACTAGTCCAGCTGGGTCATGTGCATAAGCCAGGATACAAGGACGCTTTCTCTGACAAGAATCACGACCTCTTTGTAAAGCAGCTTTGTCAAAGTCCTCAATGCCCATTCTGACACTTCTCAAGAAAAGAGCTCTCACCCTAAACATGGTCACTGCAAAAACTGGCCTCAGTGCTGACATAATGAGCTCTTGATGCATCCAGGCCAATGTGTAAATAGTTACTGACAATTTCACAAAAGTCAAGATTCTGACATTAGATTGATAATGCAATGAATTACGATAATTAAATACTATACTAAGTGAATTCAAAATAAGTGAATGGAGACAAGTGTCACCTGTTCTAAATGGCAGCCACTTCCTTAATACACAAAGGCAGACCAACAAGATACCAAACATACTGGTACTCACTTCTTTTCTGCTGGTATATAATGCACATTCATGTTGGCATGTGCCATAGCGTGATGGTGACGAGGCCTCTCATTGGCTGAAAAGGCTGCATTGATAGCAAAATGCTTCACATAGGACTCCAAAATTGTTATGATATTGGTCTGGCATGGAAGTTTCACTAACTGTTAACAAAAATATAGACATCTGTTGTATGCACCCCATCTATTCCAAGAAATAGCAGTCGTGTCTGTATCAGTTTTTAACTCAAAAATAAAACAAAGCCTATCCTGTTTAAGTAAAACTTCTTAAATAAAGATGCTCTTACTCTTTTGAATTTTTTTCCCTCTACTGATCATATTCCCACATTGATTACAGTATTACTTTTGTGAATAAATGTAAGTAGTGATTCTCAGTCTTAGTGACCCACTATAACAACCTGGGAGCATCTACAAGTATACCCACAGCTGGACCCCACCACAGATCAATTGAGGCTTAATCTCTTGGTTGAAGCCCAGGCAACAGGCTTCTGGAAAGTTCCCTGGAGGATTCTAATAGGCAGCAAAGCACCACTGTCAGAGAACTTTAAATCCTGACTCGGCACAAAACTGAAAATATACATTTCATTCCTTCAAACTTCTCTATTGAGTCTGTGATTGGAAAATATGGCCAAATGAAAGCACTATGACAAATTCATATTTTCTTTGTTTTCCCTGCATACCCGTTTCCTCCGGTTAATATAGTAACAATCATCCTCAAGCTGCTTCTTTAGAACTTCAGGGATTTCTATAGTTATTGTTCTTTCTTCCATTTCCCTTTTTGTTTGCAGCTCCGGTTCTTCTTTCTGCAATATCATAATTCCATGTTTAACTATTCTAAAGCATAGGAGAAGGACTAACACATGAGAGCATGCTATGAAACAAACCCAGCTAATCCTCAACATTTACATTACACCACATATTCTAATCACCAAGAGTTAACTTGTTTTGGGTACTAACTGCATCGCAAACGCTTGTTTTGTTCCTTCCCCACTGAAGTTTAACACTGGATTGCACATTAACTTTAGAAACAGGCAAAAGACACCAAACTCCCTTATGATCCATTAAAAAATTAATCACCATTATAAAATCAAATGCACAATTTGACTGGAAAGTGATGACTGTAATTGATGGGAAAGTTTTATGGACATAAAGAGCCACTGAGAGACTCATACAGCAATTATAAATAAGGGCTGTGTTTCTTTAAATGTCAAGTAAAACTGTATAATATTGGTTTAAAAAATGCATCTTTAGAAAATAATTCACAACTGAAGAATTTTATCAGGAAATTTTACCACTGAAATCTGCAACGAAGAATTTTTACAATAAAAACTTTATACCACTTCAGTCTTGTCTTCGATATCACTGTCTTCACTTATTTCCTCATCCTTGTTTTCACTAATGTCGGAATTGCTGCTTATTGCTAGGTGAAACAAAAATATCAGGCAAACCCGCATTATATACTTCACCAATCCTCACATTTACAAGTCTTCTGTGTGGTGTGTGCCCTACTGGGAATAATAAACTACAGTCCTGGGTATATTTAAATGCTGGACACAAATACTGCGTCTTTCACAATAGAAATTTATTTTCACAATCAATTTCTATGGGTGCAAAAATCACACAAGCTAATGATCTAAAAGTGTTCCATCAATAAGAACTGTACAATCCCATCACTTTCATAAGTGGGGTCAAGGCCTGGGAGGTGTGGAGAAGAGTGTGGACCATAAGAAGGGACCCATGAGAAGTTTGTGCAGATGCTGGTTGAGAAGGCAGTGGTCATAAGCATGACTCTAATGAGGTCCCATTAGTGACTTACTGACTTATCATATTGACTACTACCTTTCTCAAAAATCAAAAGGGGGAAATACTGAGAGTGCCCAAAAAATGTATACACATTTTAAGAAAGGAAAAACTGTATTACAATTATAATGCTCAATAAGATGCATACAAGTCATGTTTGGCTTCTGCAATTACAAGAGGTGCTCAAAGTGGTTTCCATCAGCATCCTGACACTTCTGGTAATGGCAAACATCTCTTAACATCTTTTAAAGTGTGTATACATTTTTTTTGGCACCCCAGGTATTACATATAATGGGCTTGAAATGTTTCCCTGTCTATAATTTCAATGAATCCTCCCCTCAGTCCCGCAGTATAAAAAGACTAGGTGAAAGTTCCTTTAGCCAAAGAAAATGGAAGTAAAGCCACTCACAGTTTTCATCATTTTCATCTTTTTCGTCAATGGGGAGGCTTTTTAAGACAGAGTCGACACCAGGCAATCTGCAGCGTTTCTTTTTCCTTCCTGTGCTTCTCCTAAAAAAGATCAACACAAATCAGTTTTGATATTGCACTGACATGGGTCTGGAGATCAAAACAAGGGATCATAAACAATGTTTCTTTTTTTTTTTTTTTTGAGTTGGAGTCTCACTCTGTCACCCAGACCGGAATGCAGTGGCTGCTCCCGGCCACTGCAGCCTCAACCTGCTGGGCTCCAGCGATCCTTCCACCTCAGCCATCCGAGTAGCCAGAATTACAGGTACGCACTACCATGCCCGGCTGATTTTTTAAATTTATTGTAGAGATGAGGTCTCGCCAAGTTGCCCAGGCAGGTCTCGAACCCGCGAGCTCAGGCAATCCACTCACCTCAGCCTCCCAAAGCGCGGGATTACAGGCTGAGCCACCGAGCCCGGCAACAATGTTTCTTAAATGTCTGAAAAATAATAGTTCATCTTGAGAACATAAATGGTAATCTCCTATCTTGAGAACATAAATGGTAATCTCCATTTCAGAAAATTAAACAATAACCACTTTGAAAACACTGTAATTATTTAGACTATGACGGAAACACTCTCCTTACACTTTATATATGTAAATTACTTAATACATGTTTGTCGTTGTATTACTTTTATACCATAAAAATCCAAAACACGTAAGAGAAAACACATCACATAACATTTATATCTTGGGTTTTGTATTCTTACAGGCGAGCTACAGCTTTTCTTGCCAATTTACGCTGTAATCTACGATTTTCATCAGTATCACGAAGTACATGATCTTCGGCTGCCCATCTATCCCAGCTAATTGAACAAAGAAAGGAAAATTAAGTATTTTAGTTTGAATGAAACAAATGCTAAAAGTACTTCCCATCAACAGAAGTGCCCCAGAGTCACATTTCAGAAAACTATTTTGAATAGTTTAAAGTCACAAAGAGGATGCAAATAAACCGAAAAAGCAGCGGATTCAGACAGAAAAACAACTGGAGTTTCCAGAATCACCCATAGAGAATCGACTTAAAAGTAATTATTCTCCAGAATAGGCAAGCTTTGATAACAAAGTAAAAACAGGAAATGAAGCAAACTTCTCCGCAAGTGTTTCTAAAGGTTAAAGAAGTTTGCAATGCTCTCGTGCTGCAAAGATGATCAATTTTCAGTCCAGTTTAACAAGTACACTCACCTTCTGTTCCAACCATTAAAATGGATCAGATATTCTGGGATCTTTCTGCCTTTTTCGTCTTTCCCAACAATAACATCGACAATCTGAAACCAGGAAATATTGCCCACAAATGATAGAACATCCACAAAACTACAGATTAGATCAGGAAAACTAGATCATAGACCTTTTTTAAAAGAAAAGAAAGCAATCTCTCCTCTTTTAGACCGAGAGCTGGGTTGAAACATTTTTCCTTTCAATATCATTTTTCCCCTGAGTGGACGCCTTCAAAATAGGAAACATCCGTCCAACCACCCCGTGATTGGTCTCTGAGCGTGAGCCAGGGGGAAGTTTCTGAAGTCATTGGCCAGCCAATTTGTCACTAACGAAACTGACCAGACCAGACAGGAGCTGCAGCCCTGAGACCTCTGGGAGTTGTAGTCTCCCGGGCTCCGCTGAGTCCAGCACCAGGACAGCTAGCAGGAGACTCCGGGATCCCTTCCCACAGAGGGAACATCTGAGGCTAATATGCGTGTCCCCCCTAGGGAGACTCGGGGGCGGGAAGAGAGAGAGGAAGGATAGCTGAGGTGATTCGAAAGGCAGGTGCCGCAGGGGAAGGGACCGAAGGCAGAGAACATGCTAGGCGGGAGCATTACTTGAACAGAGCCAACAAGGCATCATTAAAGACGCACCTGGGGCCGTTCCTATCCCTGCCGACAAAGCCTTTGCCCAGGTCACTGAAATGCGCTTTCCTTAGGGCTCTAGGGGGCCTTCAGTGCCCACTTCTGCCCGCCATCCACACCCGAGAAGCTGCACGATGTGGCTCAGCCCCCTGAAACTTAGATGGACGGGTCTGGGGGCGACTTTGCTCAAACGCGGTCACGCGTGGGTCAAACCCACGCAAATCCTTCAGGGACTGAAAATGTTAATGCTGTAAGTCCTGGGGGGCGAAAACACAGGGCCAACCTTGCCCTTAGGGTGGGGGTCACGGTCTACCGGAGGGAAGCGATCTAAACTCGACCAGGGTCCAAGGGCAACAATGTCGCAAGCCGGCAGCCAGCGCCGCGGAACTAAGACCTGGGTAGGACCGCCTGGGCATCTCACGGGAGCCCACGCGGCACTAGGCCGCACAGGACGAGGAGAGATTTAACGCGGAGGCAGAGGCCGTAATCGACAGGCCTCCTTCAACAGCGGCCCAGGCTGGAGTCGCGGGCTCAATCGCAGTGCCCACCTCGAGATATCGCACGCGCTAGGCCCCCGACCGCGCGTGCGCTGCCCGGCCAGCAGCTTAGAGGAAGCGGAAGAGCTCCAGACCCCGCCCTGACTTCCACGCGCGGCAGCCCGTGAGCTCCCCCTGCCGGCCTCACTGCTCCTCGCAGGC